CGTATGCAATAGAAAGTTATCATAAAACCTATGTCCATGTTCAGTGAGGAAAAATAAAAGAAAAGAAATATCGGAATAATTCATACAGAAGAAGCTTCTGAAATTGCAGAACGATATTTTTGGCCCTACTGTGAAATAATCCCTTTGGCGTTTTTTGGCCAACAGAAAAAGGGTAGAATAAAATGAGTACGAAATTAAATATGTACCTGATGTACCACCTTCTAAAAATAGCATTTCTTATAATAAATCTACTTGAGTCGTGATGGATCAGGGGATAGAGCGTTTGCCTTCCAATGAGGTGAACCGGGTTCGGATCACAGTCATGGCTGGTCGATACGAATTCCGCATCCGACTTTCACCGACCACAGTGCTTACGTAAAATATCATCAGTGGTAGACGGATCATGATTTTTCTTGGTTTTCCTCTCCGTGTAACTCAAATTTCGGGTTAGTTCGACCAAAAAGTCCCCCCCCCCGAAGTCTACCCTCCATTTCTCCCACTGCCTGATTCAAGAGTTCCCTTGTCTTCTGGATTGGGTTTAAAATTACAAGGCTACAGAGTTGAATATCAATAGTCGTAAACCTGAAATTGGATCTGCTGTTCAATGACGGTTATAAATTTAAGTAAACCTATTTGAAAATCAAAATTATATAATTGAATTAACCAAATTATCATGAGGTAGAATTAAATTGATTTTGCGTACTTTTTAAAATTTAATTGATCAAAGTGATTTTGTATTTACATAGTACACATTTTGGTCCATTATATGTCTTATCTTTAATTTTTTGGAGGTGAAAGGTAGTTCGTTATGTTAGCAGAGAATTTTCTTAGAAGTGTTTATAAGGGGAAGGGCTGCCATCACGTTATTGTAACGCGAGAAACATTAACCGAGTAACAGCTATTCTTCGTTATTTTTCTTTACTTACGTTAGCTTCTCCCTTCTTCACCAATATGCCTAAAAATAAATAACGTTATAAAAATTACATCCCTTGTTTTTTTTTCTTTTTCTTCTTCTGATAACTAAAATTGTAAGTGTTTAACAGAGGGACGAGTCGTAAATTATTTTTGTTTGGTTCTTTATAACAATCCAAAAACTTCTCTGCTGCGTAAATCAAGTGTGACAACCTCTTTTAGTTTTGTTGTCGTTTCTCGTGACAGTCCTTAGGAGTTGGAAATGTTTCAAATTTTATATCGGTCATAGAACTGACAATCTTCTGCTCCTTCTGTTATTTAGACTCTTAATGCCTCTGAATGCTGTTACTGATTGCCAATAAATTGCGCTGCTACCTCTAACCAGCATCTGATTTATGAGGTCATTTCAAATGGATCCTTCAGTTTTGCATTCTGAAACTCAATTAACAAGATGAGCGGTCAGGTCACGCTCGTTGCTTAGAAGCACTCGTATTGAGGTATATCAATGCGAAGCGCAGATTCTAATAAATAAAAACTTGATTTGTAATAAATAAAACTTGAGTAAATTTCATTAATTACTGAAAACAACGTGATAATTTTTTGATCCCATTTAACATTATCAGTCTCCCGAAGACTAACGCGGCCTAAACGGAAAGTTCAGTATTAATTACCGATGACTGGCATGGCACTCAACGTGTTAAGAAATATCTACCAGATTTAAACATTCACAAGTGTTAGGATTTACAGAAATTTGTGCTTTTAAAATTTAATGCATTCGCGGCATATAATTTTTTTTCTTGGAATAAAAATCCTAAATACAATGGTAATTGTATACGCCTTGTTTTTTTTTTTTTTTTTAAATAAATCGCAGGAAAATTGAAGTTATAATTTATTTTAATTTCATAAATCCAGGCCTTTTTTTTATTTTCATAATCCAGGCCGTTTTCTTAAGAACTAAATGGTACGTAATGCGTGTTTAGTTTTTGAGTAATTTCACATCAAAACTATTTATTTTGAGCTCTGTGTAATTTAGTTTAGCAAAAACTTTTAGCTGGGCATTATAATTTTTGTCTTGTCTGAAAGTGTAAGCCTTCTCTTCTTTTTTTTTAAAGTTCGAAATAATTTTGGAATAATTAATTTATATTAATGGTTTTACGATGTAAAGGAAAAATTAATCGCAGAAAAACTATAATTTTAGCAGCCACGTGTTCTTATGAATGAAATAAAGAAAAGATTTCGAATTTTGTAATTATTAAATTTTAAAATGTAGGTGTTTTTCGTGTTTATGTAATACCGAAAAATTAGCAAAAGATGTGTATTTTTTCCTTCTTTTAGAGAAAGCCAAATCCAACTATTATCCTTCTATCTGAAAAATAATTTTAGATTATTTTAATTATACTTACATATATTTATTTATACTCCATGGTTTATACTTTCACGTTTCCCTTCCCCTTCCCCTTTTTATGTAAGTAGAGCCCCTGAATTAGTAACGCGCCTTACATCTAAGTAACATGTGTATGACGTCAGATTAACCATTCTTCGTTTACATATTTGATCAATTAATATTTATTAATATTTTTCAATTTACATCTTTACGATTTTAATATTTAAGCATGCATACGTTATTTCCTTTCCTTCGGGTTGAATTTAAACGTATTTACTATATTTACGTAAACGTATTTATCAAAACAAAAAGAGTAAATTTAACTTACAAAATTTCTCAGTCTATGTTTCCGTTTTTTTTTTTTTTCCAATTTTTATTTTGAACTTAAATTTTTTTTTTAACAGGTTGCGCTTAATAATTTTTACACATTTAATATTGGGATAAAAATTTAAAAAAAATAGTAATAAGTAGAAATATCGCCTCTTCGGTTTAAATTTCCATTTTTATTTACTGAGTACTTGTATATAATTATAATTTTATTTTTAATAGTTAACATGTGTACTGCTATAATTTTAGGACCAATTAGATGAGCGAACGAGCGAGCTCAGATTGCGAAGCGATTTGAAGAGAACTGTGCAAGCAGTTCCGAGGTTTGGTAAGCGATAAAAGGGTGGGCATTGCCCCTCTAACATACTTTAAATAAGGGAACGTGACGTTTTTGAATTGTTTTATGTCCAGGCAAAAGATTTTTTTTTATCGCAACGTGTAGTTTAACGAAAACTATTACCAGGGAAATTATGATTTATTTTATTTGTTTAATTTTATTTCTTATTGTTAATTATTATTGCAATTACGTACTCTTATATCTAAACTTACTCTTACTACTCTTGCTAAAGAAAATCAATCCACACAGCTGTATCAATAAACGGCTCCTTAGTAGACTGAACAGATTTAAACTCGAGCGAAGCTATCTGGAAAGAACTGCTACTTAGTAGATTGAACAGATTTAAACTCGAGCGAAGCTATCTGGAAAGAACTGCTACAGAAAGTGATGTAATGATGAAAATTAATTTAAAAGTTATTAATGTATAAAAACTGGCTTAATAAACAAGAAAAAGGTGGGGAAAAAGTATAAATAGCCAGCTCAGATGTCGAAGCGACCTGAAAGGAACTGCGTCAACAATTTCTGTGAGCAGGGGGTGGAGCTCCCTAGTTTATTGAAATCAAGAAATGGATAACTATCAATTACTCCTAAAACAATTGCCCAAGAATTAGTCTAGTAATGCCATTCATTGCATGTACAAATCATTTACCCTTTTTTTATATTCTTAATTTTACTAGTCACTTATCAGCTGGTCTGCATTTATATATTTAACTAATAGCTTTGTGGTTTCTTTTATCCTTCAGGAACTCACCTGTTTCGTATAATTCCACATTACCGCTCATGCCATAGACATCATTGTCCTGAATCTTTGTATTGATATTTTAATTGCAAAACGGAGAGGTAAAAATCGTATATAGTCTATCTGCTTTGATGCTTCCTAAAATAATATATAGAGAAAGTGCAAATGCTCGCCGCTTTGCAATTTTCAATGTCTCTTCGAAAAGCGTTGGAATGATGTTATGAATGAGGTTGTAGCTAAGAATAGTGGAAAAATCATATTTCATCTTGCTTCCTATGCAGTCAACAGTTTATAAATTCTCGGAATAGTAGAAATTAATGAAAAACAATCCGATAAGTCCATGATAATGGTGACCATTTGCCAGTTATGGGTAACAAGATCCTGAAAATACCAAAAACTTCGTCTTGTAACAGAGTCTTTATTTCATTAATGAGATTCAGCATCTTATTTTATTAAGGTCAGGTATTATGCATAAAATTTATTTTTTTTGTTCCTGCAACGAAGCGTTTACCAGTTAGTGTTTCATAAATTACGTCGTTGTATATTTTTGATTCAGAAAATTTTGTTTGTTTTTTATTCTCTACAAATATCAGGTATTGAAATTTATTTGGCTGTTGTCTGATTTTTATTTAACTTTTAAATTTAGGTAATATCTTTAGATTCTGAAAAAAAAAATATCGTGCTTGTACAAAATAAAGTATTGCAGTAATTAAATGACTGATTCATTTTCCACGTTATTTTGCCCATGTGATATTTTGTCCACGTCACATTTTGAGTGCAAACTATTTGTAAAACTGGTGTTAGGTTACTAATTTCCTTTAGATTGTGCTTTAATATGAAAGTACATTTTTTAGTTACAATAAACAAATAAGCAAAAATACATATAAAATAAAACAAAATAAATACATAAAATTATAAATCAGTTTTATGAAAGAGGGTGAATTCGTAATTCATTTATTTAAGTTAACAAATTCTTATTTATCTCAAGTTAAGATAGAAAAAAAAAGTTTTAACTATTTTTGAACAACAGACAAGAAAGAGAAGAAAAAAAAAAGCAGACAATTCATAATAGCTTTATGCATAATTCCAAAACCTAAAATTAGCGTTCTTATTATCATGTTTCAAAAAGAAGGGTGTCGAAACGATTTTGAAGGTTTGTGTTGGCGGTCCAGATCTAGTTTTTTTTTTTTTTTTTTTTTTTTTTTTTTTTTTTTTTTTTTTTTTTTTTTTTTTNAATATCAACAGCGTTTTGTTTCAGAAGTCACCCACTTTTAAACTATTTTCAACTTTTGTATTCACAGGCACACACACCTGCTGCTTTCTCAAATGTTACAAAAAAAAGTAAGTCCCTAGAAAGAAAAAGATTTTTTTCTTTCTTGAAAACGAGGAAGTCTTAATGACTTTCACCAGTTCCAGAACTCCAAGGTTTCTCGCTGTCCTGTCTACCTTACGCGCCAATCTCAAACCATTGCCAACATGGAGAAAGATGTCAAGTGAGATCCATATTTCCCTCTCTTTTTTGTTCCTTTCTTCCTTTTCGTTACTTATTAGTATATAACATTAAAATTCTTTTTTTTGTTTTGTTTTGTATTTTGTGTTTTAAAATAACATAACTTTGTGATGTGATTAAATAGACTGCAATTTTCTTCTATTTTTGCTTTTTTGAATCTTTATATACATTTGAAATTATTAATTGCATCTTTTAATTTAATGTTTAATATGTTTCTTGCTTTTGCTGCCAATTTTTAAACTAATATTTAAGTTTTACCCCTTTTAATAATGTGAAATATTTCCCCTAATTAATGATGAAATTATTTTCGTTACAAAACATATCCTAAAACTTTCCATGAAAAATCTGTTTTTATAGTCAAAAATCATTTGAATTTTGATATTGGTATTTAAAATAAAATTATTATGTATTAAGCAACACGTACAGTCAATAATTATTCATCCAATTCAAAATTTATTTTCAAAAAGATAATATAAATTGAAGTTTATTTACTTAGTTATATATTTGGTTAATTTCTTATGTTAAATGCGCACTTATGGCCTTGTATGTAGGTATTCATATTTTTACAAATTGTTTGTCTAAATTTAATTAAGTTTCCCATGAATATCTTTTTCCAATACTTCTTAGTTTTTGAAAATCATTAAAACATTTTGCTTAAAAAAATATGTACCCACAATTAAGTAGGAAACCACAATTGTTGAACTTAAAATAAATTAGACAAGTTTTATATTTTAATTAACATATTTTTATATTTACAAAGGATTCTGTTATTTTTTATCTATTATAACATTAATTGGCCCTAACTTACGAACCGCTTTCTTGGCTAAATACTATGTATACGATGCTTATTCAGAGAAAAAATCATTATTTAAGAAAATTAATGATGCTAGTAAATCAAGATAAATAATAGAAAAATATAAACGATACATAAATAAATAAAATAATAAATTAACAGTGAACAATAAATTAATCAAAGCAGTATTCTTGTTATAGGTATTTAATTTCTTATGTGAAACATTTTACATAGTTTTTACATTAGAAATAATGATGTATGCCCATAAAAGCTTTCATATGTAAAGGCAAAACATAAAAATAACTGTTTTGACATCAAATTGTTCAAAGTCTTTCACCTTTTAGAAAATGGTATTTATGGATTTCTCCTTCTTAAATATTAAAAATTAATAGCATAAAAAATAACCAAACCTCTGATTATTAAATTGCTCTTTATCATTTTTCATTTATTTATTTTGTGTTTTATATTAAGATGTTTTTATAGCTTTTACATAGTATTTAATACTTTGTTGCATTTTTTTCGAATAAAAGATTATATTTTTGCTGAAACGATTTTAAATTTCTCAATTAATTATTCTTTTAAAAGAAAGATGTGTGTATGTTGGCTGGCAACCAAGTTTAAACATTCAAGCATCGGAATGGATGAGAACCATTAATTATATCTTATTTTCTATGCTTGGTAGCTTTAAAAAAATTTAACATCTTTTTATATCATATTTTTCTTTTTTATTTTATTTATAACTGGGAAAAAGAGGGAAATAATATCCAAGGAGGGAATAATATTTAAGGAAGGAGGGAATAATATTTAAGAAGAGAAATAATATCCAAGGCTGGCAATCGGCCACACTAAAATCATCAAAAAATAATCTCTTCTAAATAGTTACATTTTTTCCCTTTTTTTTAAATCGAAATACATAAGGTACTTATATTAGGTCATAAGTAAGTAGATTATTCACTATAATCGGAATTTATGTAATTTAATTGATTTATTTCCCGCCACGTTCCAATAGGGATGAGTGAGCCCAAAAAGAAGTGTCTCTTAGAATAACTTATGTTCTAATGGTCAGTAATTAAAAAAAATAGTTGAAAGTAATTGAACATTACTAGTGTTAACAAAAATTTTGATATTAATTTTTTTTGTTAGATTCTAATAGTATTTCATATTTTGTATCGAATTTTTTTTTCTAGTTTTTTTATAAAAAAAATTTTTTTAAAAGAAGTTTATGAAAAACGTCTTTCTGAACAGCTGAGATTATAATTATCATTTACAAAAATTCCACCATTTACTTATTTGATTAAAGTATAACCCTAATATTTTCTTATATTTTTACTCAGTCTGTTAAAAGTTTATGAGAATTACTGTGCTAAAATATTTAGTTCTTTTTTTGCCAGCTTTTAATCTGCATTAATGTGTCACTCAAATTGTTAGTTGTTTTGCAACTGTGTGTTTGTATGTTTTACTAACCAAGTTTTGCTTTCTAACAAAATAACTAATTTGAAATGATGATGAATGTTTTTCTTTTAATTGTTTCTGCATGCAGACAAATCGAAGATCCTATTACTGTAGTTAACAAATGTATTGAGAGCTTAGAAAAGTTAGTAAATTTAAAGACAAGCGCTGATCGAGCTTTGTACGTTGGCTCTATCGAAAAGTTGCAACTTGCAGTATGTTCAGAAGGTGAGATGAAATTTAAACTAATTTGTTTTGTTTGGTCAAACGCTGGTATATTACCCATATAAGGCGTTCATTATGTCCTCTACTGCTTTACTTATAAATGGTGATCGCTAAAGTAGTAAAATAAATATCTAATTACAATGAAATAATTATGAATTACTTAATGAGAACACTTATAGTGCCATTTAGCTTATTAATTTATCCTATTTCATTAAGGGCTTAAGATACAATGAAAAAGTTCCTCAAAAAGCATACATGTGCAGATAATCGTGGGAAATAAAATACTTGAGTTATGCAAGTTTCAATTTGCTATTTCTAAAAGGCAAATTAAACTTTGAAGGAAACAAAGGCCATTTTTAGGTCAAAAAGTTGTCGTGTTTACTTAACCCGTTTTAGGCCAAACATAGAAGTTCTATAAAGTGTGGTATTGTTTTCATTGAAATATGCTTACATTACATTCATGATGACACAAAAAAATTTCGTGTATGAAAAATTATAGTTTATTTAAGAAATAAAATGGTGTGTATAGACAATTAATGAACTAATCATTTAGTTGAACGTTAGTTTTTTATGAAATTTGTTTCATTCCTTTTTTTTTATTTACTGACTTTCTACTTAAATCCATCATAAAAAACATATGATAAATCTCAAAAGAACTAATTATACATTTTCAAAAAATTGTCAATAACCGTTGGTTTAAAAAAAGAACTTGAACAGTTAAAAAATTTCTCAACAGAAAGTGTTTACTCCAATTGAATTACTAATAATTTATGGATGCCTTCAGAACCCTTGACAATAGCAGAAAAATAAAATTACGTCACAGTGTTATTTAAAAAATATTTATTGAAATGGTGCATTTGTGCACCTTTGGCCAAAAATGGGTTAAAATTGCGATACTTTTAAAGATCTTATCTGCCACTTTACAATAACTAAGCATCACTTTTGGACTAAAGTTTAAAGTTGTTACCATTTAGAAGTTCAAGTGAGTCCAGGACTGTAGTGGACATCTTATATAATAAACTGCTGTTTGTAGAAAATGCAACACCATGAAGGAATCATCAGAATCAAATGAAATATTATTTTAATAATGGAT